TTTTCTTGTTTTTCTTTTGGTTAGGTTATGAGTATTATGAGGGGCTGCCTGAAGGACTTGCCAACTTATCAATGGTTGACAGTACTGCCTCAATTAGTTTCAAGAATTTGCCATCAGAATGAAGAAATTGTTCGACTTGTGAAACACATAATTACCTCTGTTCTCCGTCAGTATCCGCAGCAAGCTCTTTGGATAATGGCAGCAGTATCAAAATCTACTGTACCTTCAAGGCGGGAGGCAGCAGCAGAAATTATACAAGCTGCACGGAAGGGCTTTAGCCAGGGAAATCGTGGCAGCAGTCTGTTTATCCAGTTTGCCAGTCTTATTGATCATCTTATTAAGCTATGCTTCAATGCTGGGCAGCCAAAAGCAAGAACAATTAACATTGCAACTGAATTCAGTGCCTTAAAGAGGATGATGCCACTTGATATCATAATGCCTATCCAACAGTCTCTTACTGTTACTCTACCTACATTTGATCAGAATCTGAACGGAACCCTTGCTTCAGACATCTTTAGTTCTATGGATCTTCCCATAATATCAGGGATAGCTGATGAGGCTGAGATTCTTTCATCTCTTCAAAGACCTAAGAAGGTATGTTTGTACTGTAAAATTGGTTTCAGAAAGGTTCCCTGAATGCTAAGCAAAAACAGAATGGCTTGCCTGAATATTCTTGTCTTTGGATTTTGCTAATTAAGGAAATTTCCCCTAGTTTCTAGATTAGGTTAGCTTTGACTTTTTTCACCATAGGATGAGTGCTAGGGCCTTGCAGTTGTGGTAGGAAACAAAGTCCTAAGCTTCCATCAATCTTGGATATAGTAGGCTGTCAGATCACGAGTTTGTTGCTTGCAGGGTAATATAAGGAAAATATGATGTACTTTGCAAAATGACAGGTTCAAGGCTCTTAAATATGTAAAACATGGGGATCGGGAGGGTGGGGATTTTGTTATTATTATGTTATGGAATGTTACTGAAACCAAACAGAAATGCCTCATTCTTTTGGTGGGGATCTTTCTAAATGTATTGGCAAGTAAAATCCATTCTGTTGTACATTTCAGATTATACTGCTGGGCAGTGATGGCATTGAGCGACCATTCCTTTGCAAGCCAAAGGATGATCTCCGAAAAGATGCCCGTATGATGGAGTTTAATGCAATGATAAACCGTTTGTTATCTAAATATCCTGAAAGTCGTCGAAGAAAGCTTTATATTCGCACATTTGCAGTGGTTCCCCTGACAGAGGACTGTGGAATGATAGAATGGGTTCCCCACACCCGTGGACTTCGACATATACTTCAAGATGTATATATTACTTGTGGCAAATTTGATAGGCAGAGGACGAATCCGCAAATTAAACGGATTTATGATCAGTGCCAGGGCAAAATGCCTGAAGATGAAATGCTAAAGAACAGAATTCTTCCCATGTTTCCTCCAGTCTTCCATAGATGGTTTTTGACCACTTTCTCTGAGCCTGCCGCTTGGTTTAGGGCTCGGATAGCATATGCTCACACTTCTGCTGTTTGGTCAATGGTTGGACATATCGTGGGTCTTGGTGACAGGCATGGCGAGAACATTCTCTTTGATTCTACCACGGGTGACTGTGTTCATGTTGACTTCAGTTGCTTATTTGACAAAGGCCTGCAACTGGAAAAACCTGAATTGGTGCCTTTTAGATTAACACAAGTAAGACAGCCCATTAACTTTTGTGTCCTGCATACAGTTGTTTACTACTGGTTAGACTCATAAATATGCTTAATTAGCTCTGAAATGTCCATAGATTAGATTTTCTGACATGGCATAAATCAAAATCAGCCTGCAGTATGCAGTTTCATATGAACTTTTTCTGTTGGAGAGTTCGCAACATGATGGCAATGCTTTTTTAGTAGCTTGGCGGAGGAGTCTGCACTTCTGCCATTGAAAATCTTTAAGAGAGCTTCTTCGGACATGTACATAAGGCATTATATCATGATTAGAAAGTTCGCTACTAAGTTGTCCACTACATACTATACCTAGCTGACTCTGCTTTTGTTCTAATGAGCGTGTCTGATGAACCTTTCAGAACATGATTGATGGATTGGGCATCACTGGGTACGAGGGCGTCTTTCTGAAGGTTTGTGAAATCACTCTTTCTGTGTTGAGGACACACAGGGAAACATTGATGAGTGTGCTTGAAACATTTATACACGATCCTTTGGTGGAGTGGACAAAATCTCACAAGTCCAGTGGCATAGAAGTTCAAAACCCACATGCGCAGGTTCGCATCTTGTTACAAGCATCATATTTGATATTTGGCAACATACGTACCTCAAAAGGATATTTCTATTCCACAAAATGAAGATCTAATTTTGTTGGACAGCTGCCAACTGTTCTATAAACTTGAGCTAGTAGTGTGAGGCATGATTTAATACTCAAATGATTTTAACACACCCCCTCATGTGTAGGCTAGATTTTGACATAACACTGAAGCGTGGAAATATATAATTAGAGAGCTAGATTAGGGGCTTGCATAGATTTTTACTTGGGATCTCTTATTCCAATACCATTTAGATTTCACGGAATCACTGCCAACTATATCTGAAAGTTTAAGCTAGTTGATGAAGATGTTGTTTAATATTTTAAAGCTCAAAAATGTTTACCTCTCGATTAATTCAACTTAAAAGAAAGCTAAAGATCCATCTCTCCATTATTTTCTTACCAAAAATAGAAAAAAAGAAAGAAAAAAAAGCTAAAGATAATTTACAGTCCCAATTTTGTCGCTTCCTAGAATGGAAATTGTTCAATTCTATGCAGGGCTTGAAATTGAATATTGATGTGGACATGCTGAAGGACATTAAAATAGAAGTTAAAACCTGAAACATTCTGTTGCTGGAAGGAGAAATAGTATCCTGGGGGAACCAACGAAGGAACTGTAAACTATGAATCTTAGTTAAAGGCATCTAAAGTACACTACAAGGTTTTTTAGCTATACCAACCAGTGACTTTGAGGTATAATGTTGGAAATTTAGCGGGCGGTCAAGCATATCAAATGGACCGTTGGCTTGTAATCTGATATGTCTATTTTCAGGGGATTGTGTTTAGCACCGCACTTGCTGTTGTAAACAAATTGTTTTGTTCTGTTGCAGCGAGCCATCAGTAATATTGAAGCTAGGCTGCAAGGAGTTGTTGTCGGTGTTGGTGCTGCCCCATCTTTGCCTTTAGCTGTTGAAGGTCAAGCACGGCGCCTGATTGCCGAGGCAGTTTCGCTCAAGAATCTGGGGAAAATGTATATATGGTGGATGCCGTGGTTTTAGGAATAACCGTTCCGAGAAAGTACTGCTAACACTGAAGCAGGTATGCTGCATTTTATCTTCTAAATTATGAGTTCCTCTATGTCTAATATTTAACTTTGATTTGCAGAGTTTTAGCAAAAAAAACCTTTAACTTGCAGAGTTAGCCTTCCATGAGGATTTTCTCAGAGAGATTGTACGAGCAATTCCACCCTTCCCACACATGCAATCTTGTGCAATTTTTTTAGATTGATGCCCCCCTCATACAGTGGTCATGATCGAGCGTATTTCATGATGAACAACTCATTCCTTATTATCATCAAAGCTAGTTTATCTTCTTTTATAGGGAAATTGGATGTCATCAGCAGTTCATGATAACACATTTGACTGAGCAATTTGTATCATTTGACTCATCTTCTGTTTTGTGATTCCTTCCCTCACTTTCTTTCTGCAGCTCACCATTTTCTTAAAGCAGTGAATTCGACAACAATGGTTTTAATCTTCTGTGATGTGATAACTTAGTTCACTTTCTTTATGCAGGTTGCTATAATTTCTTGAATTTACAGTAGCTTCAGTGTGGTTGGCTTAGCCATGTTAACGCTGATCTGGACACTACAAAACAAGCACGATCAAGGAACATGAAGTTTCTCAATTTGATGTCGTGGCATCTCTTTAATGCTTGTAAACCAGTGACGGATTGCTCATTTGTGTATATCTGAATCTATATGTTGTGGTAATTGAGAGGTTATGCTAAAGCTGTTTGAGCCTCAGGTAGCCGCTTTTACTTTTGGTGCCCCTTGTTTTCATATTGGTTAATCCACAAATGACCTGTCTTTGAAGGACCCTGCTTTTTGATATTGAACACTGTTAGAATAATTAAATATTAAATTACGTCATCATCTAACAGCTTAAACTTTTAGAATAGTTGGCAGTGGTCCAACCAAAATCTTACATGGTATCAGAGCTGAAGGTCCTAAGTTCAAATCTTTTCAATCCCCATTTGCCTTCCCAATTAAATATGTCAATGGTTAGTACAAAGTAAAAGACTAAATTAAGCGTGAGGGGGAGTGTTAGGATAATTAAATATTAAATTATACTTTCATCTAACAGCTTAAGTTTTTAGAACAATTGACAGTGATTCAACCAAAATCTCACAAACACTAATTGATATGTCCTTAGAATCATGGGGAATATGTCGCTGCAACGGTATGCACTAATTGGAGTGTCCTGCAATATGCTATCTGTAGGCACGAGTACCGGCCATGATATCAAGAGACGAATTGGGAGCATCTCCCGGAACATATTTGGCAATGATGGGCCACGGAAGAGCATTTTGTGCCTCTCCTCTCTTTTGAACTTTCATGTACCGGCAGAAGTGGCGTGTGCGCTAGTTCGAATGAGAGAATTTAAGTCCTGAAATTGTTCTGACCAAGAACAGAATCTTGGAGAATTGGGTCTGTAAAGGATGACGACTGCTGTGGATGGACTTCAGGCCTAGCACTTTCAAGGGCATTAAAGGATTAAGGAGCATCTTCTCCACCTAAGCGGTACTGTCAGTTACCACTGTATATGACCACCCCGGTTTCGGACTTGAATTCCTCTGAAGATACGGGACCGCAATCGAACTGAACATGAGTTACCTCCTGACAGAGACTGCTGGAAACATTCTCACAAGTCGACGAAATTTCGGCATGGAGGTATTGGCTCATCATTCTCTACTCGTTACAATCAAGTATGTCATTCGCATTTTACTTAGTTTTGTTGTGCTAAAGATCATTTACCCACCACATCAATGATGAGAAACAGGCAGTATGTAGTTAGAAGGAATTCACAGATGACTTGAGCTCCTGAAAATAATTGGTGATGTGCAAGTTCGCTCGCTCTCTATAGCCTCCCGACATGCCTTTGCAAATCTTCGCGTGTTCATAAGCTCATAGTCAACAATTATACGAGAGGGCGAGCAAAATGATACTACACGATCGCACCTATCATCGTGACGGCGTGCGGTCACCAGGCACATTCATGTCACATGCTAAGTCAAAAGTGAGAACTTACCATTGTCATAATTTCCCTTTCTTCATGCTGAGGATGCTATTCACAACTTTCCTCAATTGTTCCTGATGGCCTGAGGCTACTCTTTCTTTCACATTCTACACCCTGTAATTCCACTCTCCTGCTGTCTCTATCCATCGCTGGCAGTGATGTGCGAGAAGCGCTTCCTTTTGAATCCGTACATAACCAATTCTTGAGAACTCTTCCCTTGGCAACAAAACAACCGACGTTCCTCCGATCGATCCTCATCGGACTTCGCAGCCGATTGAGCATCGCCTTGACCATCTGCTTCACCGGCGATTCCCCTCTGATGGCACTGTGTTTCCCTGACCCACAAACCACTGTAACCTCTGCTGGAATCACGTATTCTCCACCGCCGAGCCTGCACCGCATCTCTTCCACCCACTGCAACATGATCAGATAAGCAGAGCCCAGGTGCATTCCGTGGAGATCCAACTTCGCCTCCGAAGGTCCCCACTCCATCGCCTCGCTCAGAACCGGCGAGTCGACCAGTTCCTTAACCAGCACGCCTTCTTCTTCGCCGTCCAGGACCCCGTCCAGCTCCTCGATCGAGAGCGGGAAACTAGACGGATCTCGCAGCAGCGACATGATCGTCGGACAAGAGTTCGAGACCGTGTTGTAAGTCCTGATCGAGAAGGGAATCTCCGCCGCCTTCATCCTGCCAAGCCACGGCAGCATTTTGGAGAGATCGCCGCTGTTCCCGTAGGACGAGAGCACCATGTTGGCGCAGACCGTGTCGATCTTGAATCCCTGCGCGTCCATCTTGTCTATGTTCCTGCTCATATCATCGAACAACCCGAGCTTGCCATATCCATACGCCACTGCTTTAACCTCAAAATAAGACAGTTCGATCCCTCTCGATCTCATCTCATCCATCAAGCTCTCCGCCTCCCGCGGCCGCCCCATCTCGCTCAAACCCTTGATCATCGACCCGTAGCCTCTGCGTCTTACGTAAGCCGACGACGAACCGTCCACGATCTGCTTCAGACGAGAGACGTAAGCATCGAATCCGCTCTCGGATTTCAATTCGGAAAGGGAATCGATCAGATTGCAGTACAGAAGCGCGACGTCTCTGTCTCTCGGCCCGAGCCTCGCGATCGCTTCGGCGGCGAGGCTTTCCGATTCGGCGGTCAGTCCTTGCTTCTTGAGCGAGGCGATGAGGTCCGCCGCTAGCTTGGCGTTCCACCTGAACCACGGCGCTTCGCGAATCTTCGCATAGAGCTGCACAAAACCCAGAAGCTCGTGATTGATCCACATAGAGAGAGAGAGAGAGAGAGAGAGAGAGAGAGAGAGAGAGATAGAGAGAGAGCAGAAAGTTAGAATACATCTAGCGCGACCAATCGATCCTCTTGTTTGTCGCCATTTCCGCAGCATGAAATGGGAAGAGCGACTGAGGTCACGACGCGCAGCGATTTCGCCATTGGATCGTTCCTTCGAAGACGACGAGAGAGAGAGAGAGAGAGCTTACGGGGAGAGCGAGGGAGGAGAGGTGGGGATGAGGGAGGAGGTGGGAGAGAGCGTCGAGCGCGGCGGACTTGGGCGAGCTCGCGACGAACTTCCTCATCAGCCTGTCCGCCGCCGCGGCATCCCCGGCGGCGGCGGAGAGGCTGCGGAGCAACCGCTGGCCGTGCTTGCTCAGTGCGCACACCGGTTGGCGACGGCGGAGGAGGCTCGGCGGGAGCGGCGGGCACAGCTGGAGGCTCCCCATGGTTTTTCTTGGATGAGCCACCGTCGGCAAGAAGCGCGTGCGGCTCGGTCCCGCCTGCCGTTAAATTGAGCCACCGTTCAACTCGTTGATATACAATTTATATTCTTTTTATCCAGAAATTGGGAAAAAAAAATTTAAACTTTTTTTTTTTGTCACATAAAACAGAACTTTGACATTATGGAGGGGTCAATATAATGACTAATGTTCGACTATATCTATTATGTTAATGACTAATGGATACTCGAGACAACATGCCGTTTCTATCGATTTAATGGGACTGTCCATTAATATTTGAATATCATTCTATATGTTAAAGTCTTTCTAGGCTTATAATTGCTTTTAGAATATTATTGATCTACCAAAATATCACCAGATTCAAACGAGAAAGGTTTAGAAGAACGTATGAGAGGACCTATTAAGATTTTTGAAAAGTTTACTCTCCTTCCGAACTTCTTCGACTCTTCCTTCTTATTTAAATCTATGCTCGCATCGTATGACTAAGGTTAAGGGTAACATAGACACTTTTCATGATTGGGTTTGGACAATAGAGCCTGCTACAGTCTGGCAAGAAATATTGCAAACATTTCAAACAGATAGAAGCTGAAAAGGTTTGGCACAAAACTCGATCACGTAACAAAGCTTACAACTTCGATTTTACTATAGCAGCCGTGGGAACTAATTTTATTAAAGTAGTGATGTGATTTCCTGAAAGATGTTCTCACTTATTTGATGGGTTCATGATTTAGTCGTGGTTAGGATTTTCATCGGAGCTAATATCTAGTTGCCATGTATTTTCAAAATAAGTTTGTTCGAAATTTAATGCGTTTGGGGAAAATTTCGTCGATTCTCGTTAATTGCACTTGTACTCATCTAATGACAGTTGGATGGCATCTTGATAGCATGACATGCTGGGGACACAATTTCATGGCATTTTTTCATCGATAAGCACTTGAAAATCAAAACTATCGTCACGCTTTTCATATAATTGAGTTTTTTTTTCTTGTTTAGGTCACATCATTACAACAAGTATGAAATGAATGTGCAAATATTTCTCTATAGTCACAGCATGCATTGTGAGAATAATTAAATATTAAAGTATAACTTTATCTAAAAGCTTGAACTTTTAAAATAATTACATTGGTTCCAAAAAAATCTCACATTGTATCAGAACTTGACTAGGCAAAAAGATTAAATTATTACCATGAAAAACAACAAATGATTACACCCGCGATAAATGAAGATAAAACCCTAAACTGGTACACCTGTCAACTAACACGCGCCATCTAACTAAGAAATTTGACGGTATAATTTAACGAAAACTAATGGAAGATAAACCAGTTTGGATTTTTGGTGATCGAAAAATTAATTTCAAGTAAATTTATCGTAAATATATCAGTTTGAGATTTTTCGTAATATTAATCGAATTATTTATCATTCGACCGACAACGTCAATTGATAAGAGCTCTCCCCCGCAACCCCCCCAAAAAAAAAATAAATTAAGGCGAAAGAAAACGTAACATAAGCCTTTAAATGCAAAATCGTTCGCGCAAGCGGCTCGCCTCGAGTACCGACTCTCTCTCTCTCTCTTCTTCGTGTTCTTCTTTACTTGTTCGACTCAGATCGGGTGATCACGCTGCCATTGGTTGATCGGTCGTCCGGCGGGGATGAAGAAGCGGCCGAGAACCAGCCTCGATCAGGCGGTCGTTGATATCTGGCGGCGGGAGGTCGGCGGCCTCTCCGCTCGGAGCTTCGCTCGCCGGCTCGCCGCTTCCGAGGTTTCCTTTTGCCCTTTCTTTTGTCGTTTCGCCCGCCCGTGCCGATTTCGCTTGTTCCTCCTCCGACGATACGTTTCTAGGCGCGTGAAGCGCGTTTTGCCCGTGGCGAGGGTGAATTGGTCGGTGCATTGTGCGATTCCGAGGTCATGAAGTGATTCATGAGTATGCCGGGGCCGGCCGCCGCCGTAGATTGGCTGACATTGATTGCGTGTGTGTTTGTGTTCTTCTTTTTTAAAATCTCTGGGATGCGGTTGATTGGTTGGCTGGAGGAAGCAGCTGTTCGATTTAGTTGATCAGGCTAGGAGTTTCATTACTTCAATGTAGTTCTGTAGACCGGCGCAATTTCGCTCATATGAGTTGTTATCTGCTTTTTTAGGATCTTGTGTTGAGGCTCGATATCTATAATAAGCTGGAGGGGCATAGGGGATGTGTCAACACCGTCAGTTTCAACTTCGATGGTGACATGGTAATATCAGGCTCGGATGACCGGCACGTAAAGCTCTGGGATTGGCAAACCGGGAAGGTCAAGCTGTCGTTCCATTCGGGTCATCAAAGCAATGTCTTCCAAGCCGAGATCATGCCGTACACCGATGATAAGAGCATTGTTACTTGTGCAGCTGATGGACAGGTATTTATATCCGAATCAAAGTGCTAACTAAAGTGCAGTGGTATCGCTACTTTTATCCCTGAAAGTTACTGGAGCTTTAGGTTTAGGATTATGCTTTGTTAAGTCAGTAGGCTACCCAGTTCGATCCAAGTGGAGGGCCGATAAAGGTCTAGTTCTATCAATTGCTTTTGAAAGTTTATGTAACATCATCAATTTTATTGACATTCATGTGAAAACTAACATGTTTTTTTTATATGTTGTATAACTTAGAATAGATTTCAACTGAGTTAAGATTGAATTATTTTAGAGCGAGTATAATACGATATATGTTTTTGATAGAAATAGTTTTTTTCCAAAAGAGTACGTGTTTTTTTGTATGCTTATGTATCATACAGAACACTGAAGTTTTTGAAATTACATACATGCATAAATAATTTGTGTTACTATGAGTATTTTACTGACCAAACCCTAACTTTGAATGCAAAGTTTGAAAATGGCTATAGAAGCCAAAAATGGCTAAGTTTTGTATGTGGTGAGTGGATGGTTTTCCGTGACATGAACTAGAATAGCTTTCATCCTCTAATTTTGACTCCTACCCATTGGCTTGCAGTCACTTCTAATGCTACACCTGACAAGGTGGATCTTATCTCAAAATTTTGTGTTTATCACCATACAATGTCTTATCTGATCCATTATGAAGCTGTATCTTTTTGTTCCCTTCCTTTTGACTTGATAAGAATAATCCCGCATCTACAAGCGAGTGGCATGCTTCTTTTTCTGGATTCCGAGGTGGTTTTTAGTGACTGTGTGCTCCCGCCCCTCCTCCTTTTTGGCATCTGGGCCAGGTCCGGGCTACAATGCAATGACAAAAGGATATATCAATGTTTGATGCACTCGACTATGTTTTCTTGTCTCGAATCTGAATTGTGTTTATTACGTTAATTGTGTTTTTCAATTCAATCAGATATTTGAGTTACTACCTTGGTAGGGACGAAGCCTTGGAGTACCGGAGTTTGGCATTTGTAATTTGATGACTGAGCTGTTGATGAGGAAATTGCTTTATTTCAGGCAAGGCATGCTCAGATTCTGGAGGGGGGACAAATTGAGACAGTGTTGTTAGCCAAACATCAGGGAAGGGCTCATAAGTTGGCTATAGAGCCTGGAAGTCCGCATATAGTTTACACATGCGCTGAAGATGGATTAGTTCAACGTGTGAGTTTTCTTTATCAAGATTATACTGCAATACCCATCTCTTGTATTAATTGTGCTATCTGCGTGGCAAGACCTTAATGACTGCGTGAGGTCCTTTTGATGAGTTTCACTTTGCTAACTTTAAGCCCTAGAAGCAGGCGTCTTCCCCCTTCACCATCTAGTGAATTTGCAAGTGAAATTGGTAATTTGTTCTGTGCTGTGAAGTCTTTGAGGGAGGCTTAAATGCAATATTGGATTTCATTGCTCGCAGAAGTTGATTGTTCTATGCTCACATAACAGTGCCATTTTGTTTCAGCTTGATCTCAGGAGTAAAACTGCCACAGAACTTTTCACTTGCCAAGAAGTATATGGGACTCATGTGGAAGTTGTTCATTTGAATGCAATTGCAATCGATCCAAGGAACCCGAATGTATTTGCGATTGGTGGGTCGGATGAGTACGCTCGGGTATATGATATTCGCAATTACAAGTGGAATCGAGCACATACTTTTGGTCGATCTGCTAACTACTTTTCCCCTTCTCATCTGATTGGTGATGCACATGTGGGAATAACGGGCTTAGCCTTCTCTGATCAGAGTGAACTTCTCGTCTCTTACAATGATGAATTCATCTATCTCTTCACCCAGGAGATGGGACTGGGTCCTGATCTTCTCTCTGCCTCTACCAAGTCCGTGGACAGTAATTCCAGTGAAGTGGCATCTCCCGCAGCTGTGAATGCTGAAGGGAATGTTACCCCTCAAGTCTACAAAGGGCACAGGAACTGTGAGACGGTGAAGGGCGTTGGCTTTTTTGGGCCTAAATGTGAATATGTGGTGAGCGGGTCTGACTGTGGCCGCATATTCATTTGGAAGACAAGAGGAGGACAGCTTATCCGTGTTATGGCAGCTGATAAACATGTTGTAAACTGTATCAAGCCTCATCCTCATATCCCAGCTCTGGTTAGTAGTGGAATAGAAAATGACATCAAAATCTGGACTCCAAGGGCTATTGAAAGAGCTACTCTACCAGCGAACGTTGAACAGGTATGCTACATCATTGTCCACTGCTAGTTAAAGAGAAAATTAAGTTTGTGCATCTTCTCTTGCTTCTTGTGTCATTTCCATCAAGTACGTTGATCTTGACATTTATATCTCTTGTTAACTTGAATACAAAATTCTCTCTCTTCTCATCTTTTTAAATTTTTGTTCTTTGAGCCACTGCTTCTCTACATCTCATAATAAGTGGGTTTTTCGTTCAATCGTCAGGAGGATTTCATGAAACTACAATATCAGCTTTATGTGATGCATCATTTTATTAGAAAATTTTGGTCTCAAGAATTTAATTTATGCCTCGTGAGAGAGGTGAGAGATGATAAGTAAATGGTGTATTTCAGTATTCCCTCTTTGACGCAGGCTGGGAAGGTTTCTCTTGATCTACATGCATAATCAGCTTGCTTGCTTTTTAAGAATGTGGGCGGTTGTTCTTTAGTGATCTTCACCTTCGAAGTAGTACATTTTGGTCTGCTTAGGCTGTGTTCATTCAGCAGTTGTCTAGCTTTTTAAAAGTTATTAGAATGTGCTGTTGACGGCATCTGGTTTCTGTATCAAATTATATTCAACGATATGTAGATATTAGCTTGAAAATGTCGGGTGGCGTTTTTCTTTCTAGTTGTAAAAAGGAGGTTTAGGTATATCGAGATTCAATAGCAATTCTTATACGGCTTTGTACCTTAAAATACCACACCTGCACAACTTTCTACTGAGCTCTCCTTTTCCATTGTTCATTAAGTGCTATCAATTTTCTTTTTCATTTCTGGATGCTTTAGTTGCCCTGGACCTGCATAAGATGGGTGAAACTGAATGCTAGTTTCACCCTATGGGAAGGGCGAGAAACGCCTATTCTCAACCAAGTTTTGGCATTCTGCTCGTGCTATTAGTTCTGCCATAGGGCTTATGATAATAACCCGTGATAGACCAAATGACAGCAGAGGAACTAATTTCTCTGCTGTAACTTGTTTGGAGGAAGGTCCCCCCTGACCGCATCCCATGGTTATCTGATGACGTGGATGATGAGGATGATGATTATTCTTATGATGATGATTTTTACGACGACGAAGATGACGACAGCGAAGAGGAGGGCAGTGGAGATTCTAGCGATGAGGATAGTAAAGGTGACGACGATGACAGCGATGGCGATAACAGTGGTGGTAGCAGTAGTTTTTCTGGCAATTATGATGATTGTGATTTTACCCTTCCCATTTCCAGCTAAAACCGAAGGCTAGGGGGTGGATGTACAGAATATTGCCCCCTCGGGACCTCTTGTCGCAGCTGTATTCCCTGCAAAGCTGGCCAGCAAACGCGTCGGAGCGTGGTGGAGAGACTTCGTCTAACTCGGCTGCTGGGCAGGAACTCGTGGAACTCTTTTTCACACTGAGTGCTAACGATGACGGTTCTTCGGATGGTGGCGGTGATTCTTCTGGTCCATTCCTTTAGCTGATCGATGCGATGGTGTTTAGAAGACGACTAAGCAACTGTACATAATGTAGGGCAAAAACGTTTAGCTTCCCCATCTTCTCTCTTTTCCCTTCTTTTTCTTCTCTGGCTGTCTTCTCCTTCTCTTCATGGATATGTTCATCCACATAATTTGTTCATGCTTTGTTTATATTCTTTCTGTGTATTTTTCTCCTCCTCCTCCTTTTCATGGATATTTACATTCATATAATTTGTTCTTCATGCAGTGCAATTGTAACTATCACAGGCCAGTTTCTGTGCTCATATTTCAAATGACCATCCCATGTCCGACATGCACTTTCACCTTAACGTAGAAACTCTAAGCGCGGTCAAACTAAAGATAACCATTCTAAGTGCTGAGATAAGTGCACCGAAAGTTATAAAATTTGCCACGAAAATTCAATCAAGTTCTAAAATTTTTAAAAGGCGTAATCAAATTTTAAAACTCGTTTAAAAAATGCAATCAATATTTTGAATCTTTCAAAAAGTGTCTTCTGTTGAAGTACTTGATGAGGCCAATTTGATACATTTTAAGACTTTTAATACTGTTATCCCTAATGCGCCTCCGGGGCAAATTTTCTATTTAATTTTTATTTTTGCCAATAATACAATAGAATTATGACAAAAGTAATTAAAGATATTTATGAAGCATAAATAATAAAAAAACGGCCGCAAAAATAAGAAAACGGGCCGAGCATTTTCGAGCGCAAAAAAAAATCTTCTGCCCGCTACGGCGCAGAACAGAGACCGCGCCACCTATAAAACCTCCGATTAGAAGAGCTCCAGAACCTCCTCTGGACTGTCGTCGCCGATCGCTCTGATGGAAATCTTGACGGGATCGAAGGTCGTCGCATCCTCCTCATCTCCCCTCTTCGCCATCTTCTCTCCCAAGAGAAGCTCCTTCTCCAGGCCTCTCTCCCTCCCGCTCGCCTCCTCCCGTAAGTTCCGATCGATTCCGAGAAAGCTCGACCTCGCGTTCGATCCCGCCGATTTCGTCGTGCTTTAGGTTCAGTCATCGAGTCATGGTTTTGCGTGTTCTTGTGGTTAGATAACGAGAAGAACGAAGCCGATGTTGGATCGGAGTCGAGGGATTCGAGCATAGCTCCGGTCAGGAAGGATCGCAGCCTCTCGATTTCACCTCTCTCCAAGGTATTCCGATCCCTCCGTGGCTGATTTCTTCCCTAGTATCGGATTACGTGATCAGAGAGCTTGTTCTGCGGGTTGTTTCGTTGCTTTTCTTGTACCGCGACCTTTTTCAGTGTTTAATTATGATTTCCGTCGTTTCGTGAATAAGGCGTGTATCTGCAAGTGCTGTTTCTGTTTTGAGAATTTGATGCTAGGGATTTTAGTATATAGCGAGATGAAACTTGTGAAAGGTGTCAAAGAGATCGGATTGCGGACATGATGTTTTGTTAGCCTACATCCTGGATAGTGTTCTGCAAGTTCTATTTTGGATTTATATATTTGAAGAAGGTTCAGAAGCAGAACTTTTTTATAGAATGATTCTCGAGTTTTTTTTCATCTTCACTTGCCAAATGGAGCTGTGTGAGTTTTGGCGCTTATGTGCTGCTTCTTGCTTTCCATACCTTGCTTGTGTATTCTTAGGAAACAGCGATGGGGTTGGTACTGAATGCAGCGGTGGGGAGAGGATGGACAACTGGTTCGGGAATGGAAGGTCCCCCTGTTCCTGCAGAGACGGAATCGAGCTCGGAGGACACCTCCGCCTTCCCATTTTCTCTGTTCACTAAGTCTCCTCGGAGAAGGATGCTTGTTGCATTCACATGTAACATCTGTAGGCAACGGACAACCCGGGCAATCAATCCTCATGCATATACAGATGGGACAGTCTTCGTACAGGTAATTGGCTAATTGCATCGTACATGATCTGATAGCTGAAAGTTTCCTGCCCAAAAAGCTAGCTGAACTGGTAGCTTTTACAGGAAGTTTGTAAAGTAACTTATTAGTGTATTAAGATCCAAGTCAGTTGTAGTTTAACCTGTAAACAGAAAGGTTTTGCGAAGTCCATCATCTTGCTTAGTTGGTTAGAATGATCCAGCTTGATATATATATTGAGAGAAGTGAGAAGTGTACTTTGAGGCTGAGCTTAGACATTGATCGTGCAGGGAGCCTTGCAGGTAGTAATCGGTAATGTCCTGATTCTTATGGTCCCAGTCTTGAGCAATGAGAGATCTTCACAATTACTCAAAAAATGTAGAAAAGACAGGTCTAGTTGTTGCTTGGTCTAGTTGTTTATATGGATGGACATAGTTAATTAGGATTTAGATGGTCTCTGAACCCAGCATAAGCACACATTATTTATTAGGTTCCCTGAGCTTCACCTATTCCCAGATTTGTGCCCATCCCTTGTAATTATAGTCATTACTCACTTCTTAATTTGTGAAACAAGATCGACCTTCCCTGTCACGCTTTGTAATTGAAATCATTTGTGTTCGTCATACACTTGACTTACTTCTTAATTTGTGAAACAAGATCGACCTTCCCTGTCACGCTTTGTAATTGAAATCATTTGTGTTCGTCATACACTTGACAACATTCCTAGCTGCCTCTTGATGAATGGCTTTGATTTTAAGTTGCTGCAGCAAGGTTTTTTTTCCCAAATCAATTAATTTGTTGGCAAAATGCGAAGGTGCAAATAAGGTCTCTCGGTTAACAGTTGGTTTCTCATTAGTTGGAGATATGTGGATTTATGATCTTCGATTTATGGGAGGTAGGTATGGGCTACGAAGTAGGCAAGAAAGTCACCCTTTGAGCGAGTATGTTATCAATTAATTTTTACCCATTTTTGTATTGTATGCTGCTGCAGTAGCACATTGCAAAGGGCCAAATTACTTTCAGCTTTATGCAATTGTCAATGCAATATAAAGTTATGTCACCAGTGAGGACTGCAATGCTGATGAAATCTCTTTTGTCCTTGCAGTGTTGTGGATGCAATGCATATCACAAGCTTGTGGATAATCTTAACTTGTTTCACGAGATGAACTGCTATGTGAACTCCAGTTTCAACTACAGTGGCCCAAACCTGGATGTAAATTTCAACTTTCTTGACAGTGGTGATGCCGAAGATGACTTATTCTCTCCTTGATGACGCAAGTTTTGTGCTTTGAACAGCTGTATAGTCTACAGTACACATACAGCAAAATCCAAATTGCTGTCATGTCTAATTTCTTGTGAATATTCAGTAGATATTTATACGATTATATCTTCTGAGGAAAGCTAGAACCTGCATGATGTTATTGTTATCTTCTCCATTCTGGATAGATATGGACTGGAAGGTGCTTTTTCGCCAAAGATTTACACAAACGCCGGTATGTTTCTTGCTTTTAGTAAACAAAAATTTTAATCTTTTGAGAACTATAAAACAAAAAGTCAACTTACTTTAAATATAGACATTTTTTTTTATCTTTGTTGTTGCTCGGTGGACTTTTGCACTCACAGAGGTTTGAGTGTGTTTCCCAGGATCCGCCCCCTGCCCTCCCTCCACTAAGCCATTTTCCTTGGCCGTGTAGACATTTTGATTTTCTTAACGATTTGAGGTGATTAATAACCAATGTATTCACGTCAAACTATTGTTTAATAAGAATCTTATTCCGAATGTGGAAAATTTAAGTCGAGAGACACCTGAAAACACACCCCTAGTGTCTCACCCAAATTTACGATGAAAACATATCGAGGTGGGGAAATGGGATGAAGAAGGGACTTCTAAAATGAACGGAGCAATAGACCTGATACGTGCGGCTGTTGATACTATAGAAGTAATGTCAATGGAGATAACACAGAAAATTCAGCTGATGAAACGTTTGTCGATAAGTTTTGTTCCGAAGGACAAAGTGCTGTTACGGTATTACTGATACAACTTTTTGTCCTTATGGAGTACGTCTCCCTGTACCTTTTCTTTTGCAGAAGCTACAAGCCTACTACCAGGCGACCGCATGCATATAAAATAGAAGCTGCATGTTCTCTCAAATAATTTATGGAATCACGCAACTTTCTCCTTGTGCCATATATGTCTATTGCCAATCTTCAAACTATGAACTTTACAATTTACGGATTCGGCGGAGCGACCATTATCGGCCACTTAGAAACTGAATTTAACTCGTTAATCAATTGTCCTTTCTCATGTCTTTTCTCTTCTTGCCCAGCACTTCCTTCCGCACAAGGTACTTTTCATGTCGCTCCCACGAGTCACGCATCTTCGCTAAAGACTTCCCTAATTGTACTCGGTGGAACAGCCCTCATCATGAGACTCTGGACGAAGGCAATCATCTGCCCAAACAAAAGATTAAAACAAGTCTGCTATTTGCTGCTGGTCACTGAATAAAAATCATCTTCACTTTTCAACATCAGGATGCACTGATCACAGAGTAATATATAATCACTACCGCATTGCCTTGCGATTTCTGAGATGACTCAGGTGATGGTGATGAAGTTCATACCAAAGCTTGCCAAAAATAATAAAAAAAAGGCTCTTACCTGGGCTAGTCCAATGCACATTAGACTGAAACCAGGGTACGGAAAAGGCGCTGCTTCCGATAGAAATAGTGCTGGAAGGAAATGGGAACGACAGTTTATTCAAATCCTACATTAGCATGACCCCAAAAAAAAAGAAAGAAAAGCAGAACTTTACCTGTCAGAGGACTGAATATCAGTGGCGAAACAATGTTGGCGAAAGAAGTTATCCCCGAGAGGCATCCCTGAGCCTTGCCCTGCGATGAAGATAATCCTTTAGCACTTGGTGCGGGAAAGATGTATTTTATTCAGAACTAGCGGGTGGCGCTGGTGAAATAACCTGTTCTAAAGGGCCAACTTGTTTCGATGCGATGCTGCGTATCTGAAGGTGCGAAAAGCTCGTATCAAACAAATGATGATAACTGAATTAGCTGATAGCGCTTTCCAGTGATAAAAGCACAAACTCACGCATGGAGAGACGAAGACGACGAAGAGTGTGAACACGGTGGTTGCATAAGGAACCTGCATGTTTGGTTAACCCGACCCGTTAGCCAGAGTCCACGGAACGGTAGAAATGGTATTTGAGAAGTTGAAGATTCTACTTGCTCGCTAATGGAAACACATGCGAGTTAATGCAAGAAAATCATGGAGTTTGCAGTATATAACCACGTCTCGTCTGTAGAG